TCCCCGGTTTGTGCATACCGATCCGATGTCACCGGTCCAATTACATGCCTTTGCTGACGCATCCTTATGAGCTTATGGAGCTTGCGTCTACATTCGTAGCAAAACTGCAGAAGGTTATAAAATATCGCTGTTGACTTCAAAGTCTAAAGTAGCGCCGCTCAAGACTAAAACACTCCCAAGGCTTGAGTTATGTGCCGCTCACCTTCTCGCAGATCTCTGCCACAGAATCAAGCCCCTATTAAAGGTACCTATCGAACGGATTGTTTATTGGTCGGATTCTGAAGTTACGCTTCATTGGATCCGGTCTCATCCATCTTCATTATCCACATTCGTATCGAATAGAGTAGCGGAGATTCAAGAGTGGTCAGGTGAAGCTACGTGGCGGCATGTTCCAACGAAACAAAACCCAGCAGATATTGTATCAAGAGGTTGTGACGTCGACGAAATTATACAGTCAATATGGTTTACTGGACCTGCGTTTTTAAAAGAGGAAGATGCAAACTGGCCCCAGAATGCACACTTTGAACTAGATGAAGAAGTCCTACTACAAGAATCGAGGAAGACTGCGGTCGGACTGACCGCTGCTGTAAGAAATTTGGATTTGGTAGATGTCATCGAGGGATTTTCGTCACACCTTAAACTGCTTCGGGTATTCGTTTATATGTTCCGCTTCATAAGAAAATGCAAAGACAAAAGTATGGTATTTGAAAAAACTTTGTCGCCGACTGAATATAATGAAGCTTTTCTAAAAATTGTCGAGATATTACAGAAGCACGAGTATCATGAAGAAAGAGAAAAGGTTCGTAAAGGATCCAGAGTTGGCCCAAGTCTTCAGCGATTGAATCCATTCATCCATGAAGACAAGGGGACTTGGTGTCACTTTTCTTTGTTGCGAGTTGGGGGGCGACTAGCTAATGCTCCTATATCATACGAGGCCAAGTTTCCATTGTTGTTGACAAAACGCTCCCAATTTGTGCAGAGCTATGTTCGGCATCTTCACCATTCCAATTTTCATGTTGGTCCACGAGCCCTTGTGAGTCTCCTTCGACAGCGTATTTGGATCGTAAACGCTCAGGAGGTCTGCAGTCAGATAGTTCGATCATGCATACGCTGCTTTAAGTGTAAGCCTCGACTAATGACACAAATTATGGGAAATTTACCCGCAGATCGTCTCCGTGCTCTCCGCCCATTTGCTATATGTGGCGTCGATTTTTGTGGCCCTGTCTATACGACATTAAAAATTCGTGGTCGGCCTCCGTATAAGTCCTACATTGCGCTCTTCGTTTGTTTTGCGTCCAAAGCGGTTCATCTAGAAGTTGTTTCAGATTTAACCACAGATTCCTTTTTATTGGCTTTTCAAAGGTTCGTTGGGCGCCGAGGATGTCCCCAAGTCGTCCATTGCGACAACGGGACGAACTTCGTCGGAGCGAGTCGCCACTTCCGGGCCCTTCGAGAGAGGATAGAGGACGAAGCCGACGCGATACGCGAATTCGCATCAAAAAGCGGATGCGAATTTGTGTTCACACCACCGCGGGCTCCGCACATGGGCGGACTATGGGAGGCAGGTGTCAAAACTGCCAAGAACCTACTCCTACGGGCGGTGGGCAGCGCGCTCCTAAGCGCGGAAGAGCTGGGGACAGTCCTCGTGGGAATCGAGGCGGTGATGAACTCCCGGCCGCTCGGAGCGATCAGCAGCGACCCAAGCGACGGAGAGGCGCTGACACCCGGGCACCTACTGACAGGCGGGCCGCTACTCGCCACACCAGCACTCCGGACCCCGGACCAGGAGGGTCTCAACTGCTTGCGGCGATGGCGGCTTGTCTCGTCAGTCAGGCAAATGTTCTGGCGGCGATGGTCCCGGGAATATGTCCTGGGCCTCCAAATACGGGGCAAGTGGCACCAGCAGCAGCCCAACATCAGCGAGGGAGATCTCGTCCTCGTGGCCGAGGACAACCTGCCGCCCCAACAATGGCTCCTCGGCAGAATAGTCGCCAGGCACGCAGGGGAGGACGGCATGGTCAGGGTCGTCGACGTGCGAACTAGTGGAGGAGGCCTTTTTCGGCGGGCCATTCATAAGTTGGCGCCGCTTCCATTGTGTTGAAGCCCGATGGGTGTTCAACGGGGCCGGTGTTCGCGCAAATTTGAATTTTTAATGAAATTGTTAAAAAAAACTTGAAGTTTAGTGTAAGTTAGTTTAGGGCGAAGGCGGGAGCACAATAAAGTTTTCTCTCGCTCTCGGCGAAGTCGCCCCGTCTTCGCCAACCTTCGTTAAGCTAGGCTCTAAGTACTTTGTCGAAAAATATAGAAGTATTCGTTGAAATTGATTTGAGCCGTCGACACCTTTTCTTTCCGTTTTCGTTTTCGCAAATAATAATTTTAGCCACCGCCAAGTTTTTTCTCGGTTTTGATAATTAGAAAACTATCTAATTAAAACTATCTAATTAAGACTATAATTTAATGATTTAATACATCAGTTTTTTGTTGCGTTGACTGAAAAATTAAATAGTTTTCTAATTAAATAAAAACCGAAATACTTTGGTGGCTAAATTATTAACTTGCGAAAAAAAAGAAAAACGAACGAAAACGAAAGGAAAAAGGTCGCGACGGCTCAATTCAATTTCAACGAATGAATATTCTATATTTAGACAAAGTACTTAGAGCCTAGCCTAACGAAAGTTGCTCCCGCCTTCGCCCTAAACTAACTTATATAATATATATATAATTATATAATCGTCGTTCGAGCACTTTTTGCCGGCCTGTTCATTATTTTGTTCGGAAACAATGATAAAATATTAGTTGCTTTAAGCATATTTGCACCGTTGTCAGAAGTTATGGAGACGATTTGAGTAAAATTAATATTGTATTTATTAAGCACTTTGACCACTTCCGCGGCAAGATTTTTGGCTCTTCTTGATCTTGCACCTTTCAACTCAATCATTTCCAAAATAATTGATTTTATATGTAGAATGAGCAGTTCGACCTCCATTGAGCAGGGTAGCAGCTATACCGGAAGATGCTACAGCTAGGGCTATTTTTTTTAACTTCCAACTTTTGCCAACAATAAGTTTGTCAAGAAGGTTTTACCTGTCCCTCCAGGTGCATCCAAAAAATATATTTCACCCATCTCAGCCCCAACGCTTTGTAAAATTGTATTATATACGACTTTTTGCTAGTTCGCTTAATATTAGTTTGGAGTTAGGAAATTGGGTTGTCAGGACTTTCTTATTTCTTATTTGCGCGTTTTTTGAAAACCTTTGTGTTAACAACCTTTGTAGAAGATCCTTCAAGAGAGAGAATCAGAAGGATACTGGCAGAGCTATATAATAAATGAAAGTGATCCAAGTATAAGTCGTGAGCTTGTATACTTGTTATCAGTTACAATGTTATCAATGCAATTTTAATTTGCGCACAAATATGTATACTTGTTTGTAAATTGGAATTTGTTGTTTTCAAATTTCTTGTTTTGAATGAAACGAAAACCTTTGTACACACAGTAAAAGATTGGCATCCAATACAAAAACAGCAAAGTAACGTATTATTTTCAGATTCCACATTTGATCGATAAACGGGTATAATAAATCATTTTATTTGTATTTAAGCACATTATCTACTTTCGAATAGAAACATACACACACATTGTATGTATGTACACGTATTGTACATATAAGCAAATCAAAACATATCCAAATATACATATGTACATACGTATTTAGTCAAAAGTTCGAATCATAAGATTAATATTTAACTTGGAAACATTTTGCCTTTGCTTACAGAATTTGTAGTAATTTTCTATTTTCTTCCATGGTGGAAATTAAATAAGGCTCTTACTTCTGCTACAAAATGAAAAATAAAACCTAAGCATTTGATCCACAGCACTGACTATTGATCGAAAATCATATTGATCGGAGCAGCAGTTTAAGTTTTTAAAATCAAAAACAAATTTAACTTAAATTGCCTCTTTCTCCTCCCCTTTCCATGCAGCACTACCCCTCCCCCTCATCAGTTTTCTTGGCTGTTGCTCTCTCGGCCGTCGCTCTCTTGGCATCCGCTCTCTGGGTTTCGCTCTCTCGACAGGCCGCAAAATGCAACGCAATAACTTAGAAAATCTAAATAAATTCGTTAAAAATACTTAAAAAAATGTTAAAAACTTGAAAAATTAAACTTAAGCATTTGGGCCATAGAATAACTATTGAGCGAAAAATCATCTTGATCGGAGCAGCGGTTTAGATTTTTTAAATCGAAAAGTTAATTTTAAATGTAGCCCCCAAATTATGGGGGATATCGAAATTTCTTTTAGATTTCTAATTAGGCCTTTTCAAAACCTAAAATTCGGAAAAAAACAAATATCGAAATTCCAACCACTTTAGAAGTTAAGCTTAAATACATCAACTTTTTTTTGCTCAGAATAATGGATGTTGGAGCTGTTTGGGGCCACTGGGGGGACATATCGGATCTTAGTGTTCGCCCACGCCCCCAATGGAATACTGTGAAAAAATTTGGCTGCTCTTGCTCTTACGGTTTGGGCTGTGGCCGTATCCCCTTAAAAATCGGTCTTTCATTTTATAATCTTTAGGGATGACAAACTAATTACACGTTACTGCTGGTGACTTCCACAAATCTGTCGCTTCTTGCTTTTTTTACATACGACCCGAAAGCAACACCGACAAAAATTAAAAGTAGCAAAAAGTGGATGCGTCGATTTTCACAACGAGGCTGCCGCCAATTCCCGAAATTTGACACTTACCACTGCGTCGACTTATGTCTACGATCGAAAGCAACTACAAAGCAGAAAGCAAACAAACGAAAACCGGCGACTTCTGCTAATCTTTGATTTTGGTCGATGTTTGATTTTAGCCTATTCTTTGACAGCAACTTCTGATTTTTATCAGAAGGAGAAGCAGGAGCAAAGTCGTGAAAAATAAAACTTACCGCAGTTTTTTTAACGCTGATCATAATAACAATTATCTTAATAATAATAGCTTAGTTTTTTCTCAACTTACATCAAAATCGTCCAAAGCTGCAGCCAACTCTCCTGCTCCGCTGTAAATATCTGTGGGTTGGGATGATTTTCCTTGAGCAACATCGCTTATTGTATTGACAGCATCACAAACTTGTTTTAGAATAAAATCGCGATTCACTTTTGCGAGATCCAATTCGGGATGGCGAACATATACTTTTGATGCAGTTAAAAGCATAGTTGAATGTTTTTTAAGCATCGCACGAGCAGCTGCCAAGTCGTCCCTCAACTGAGGATCCTTAAGTTCTTGTTGACGTTTGGCAGCTTGCTTTATAAGTTCTCCAGCATTGCGACCGAATTGCTAAAAAAGAAATTAGCATTTTAAGGATTATTTTGCTTCGTATATTGGTTCTTACATATTTTTAATAATCTTATAATTTAAAGGAAAGATAGCTAGTTAGTGACATATTCACATATTCATACCAAGAATTAAGAATATTCAATGTAAACAATCCACATCCGGAGCTAGCGATGCCGCTCTACAATAACATAAACAATTAATGCAATGACTAAGTGCCGCGCCCTAAGTGGCACTCTCACTCTCAAATTATTGAATACAATCAATATCCCAAGCGGGAAATCTCGCTCCCAAATTTATGTAAACAAAGGGCAACACAAGAAAGATTTTTGTCACAAGAATTTAGTCTTAAGCACAATTCAATTAATCTTTATTATCTTTCAGCACCGCATTTAATTGTGTTTTAAATTCAAACCCAAAGGGTGGATCCATTATTCGACTCAAACTAAATAATTTCACTGGCGCAGTCGGTAGGATACAAAAAGTATCCGAAAAAAAAACCTCGAGTGGAAAATAAATTTTATAAGATAGTTTTCGATAAAAAAAAATTACGTAACACATTATAAAACCCTTCAACTTGGATTATAATTCCAATTCGGTTGTCCAACAAAAAGTGGAAGAATTAATAAATAAATAAAAAAATAAAAACAATAAGCCCAAAGGCAACTAACAAATTAAACACTACAACTTAAATAAGTGAAATAAAAATAAAACAAAACTCGTATTTCTACTCAAATTTTTACAAAATTATAATTTTACAATAACAATGGCACAACCGAATATCGCCGCACCCCAAATCGTGGCGCTAAGCGACAACAACCTTGCTGAAGCTCGTCGGCAGCTAAAAGATATCATACCATTTAACGGTGATCCAGAAAATCTGTACACCTTCGTCAGCAGAGTGGATTATGTAATTTCACTCTACCAAACTAATGATGTGCGACAACAGAGGATTCTACTTGGAGCCATCGAAAGAAACTTAGATGGACACGTAACACGACCATTGGGCCTTCCGAACATCAAAGTCTGGCCTACCCTTAGTTGCAGAATTTAAACCCCAAACACCGAACTACAAATTACTGGAGAGCTTCAGGGAGACACCTTACAAAGGAAATCTGAGAGTATGCTGCGAAGAAGCTGAAAGACGACGTCAACTGCTGATTTCGAAATTGCATCTGGAAGGTAACCAATCAGATTTTTTTATTTATGTTCAGGCGATTAAAGATTTTATTAAAATACTGATCAGAAAATTACCTATACAATTATTTACTATTTTAGCTCATTATGATATTTCAGACTTAAGATCGTTAATTACTATTGCATAAATTGAGGGAATATATGAAGAACATATTAATTTTGAATTAAATAAAAATCCAAAAAACCGTAATAAATACGCTAACCCTATTCAGAATTTTAAATCATACAAATTCAATACAAATACCCCAACCCAATATCGACCACAATATCCATTCTCAACCATTCCAACCTAAGTTTAATCCATACTCGCAATCAATTAGACCCAACTATAGACAGCAGATACCTAACAACCAAGCCATGTGGCACGTACCAAATCATTTCGCACCCAACCAATACATGAACACACGACCAATTACTCACAAATATCCTTTCCCACAATATGCTAATAGAATTCAAAATTCTCAAACAGCATATTTTAAGGGGGTTTTTTAGTCTAGATGCTAGAATTTCGACCTTTTTTTAACAATTAATAAAAAAAAAGCAATAGATATTTTTAGTATCCGTTTTTTTTATCATTTGTTCATTAAACTTAAAGGAGTATATAAAATAAATTTAAAAAAATTTAGTTTTAATCGCTATAGCATGAAGCACCAAAAAAAAAAAATTTATTTCATGAAATGGCGGCTACTCAAAGAAAAAAGTCGATTTTTTTCACAAATTTTTCCATTTCGAATTTTAAAAAATATTATAAATTTAAAATTTTAATTTTTTGTTGGTTCCGGCGATAGAGATATATTTAAAGAATATTCATGCCAAATTTCAAGTAAATCGACTGATTAGAACTTGAGATATAGTGTCGACCGCATCAAAAAAAGTAGTTTCGAGAAAAACGCGTTTAAAGTTTTACGTTAAGTTTCGGCACTAACCATACAACATATAGACTGGTCATTTCATACAACGAATTTGGTCACAAAATTTTTCACTCGGGGAGCCCCAGTGCTGGAATCGGCAGGCCCCGACACTTCGTGTGCCTTCGGGTTTTTTCGCTCTCGTTCTAATTCTTATTTTGACGCTCGCGCTCGAGTTCGGTCGTTCAGTCGCAGAGACGCGCATTTTGAAGAAGGTTGGCCTGCGCTTGAATTGGGCTTTGTATGTATGCGTGTTCATGCATTCTCATACAGGGGTGCATGTGTGCGATCATTTCATTTCGATGCAGCAAGAATATTTTGTCTTTTGCTACTTTTCAGACTTGGTACCCTAACAATATGGGCGTATTCACTATTGGGTTAATGATAAAAATAAGAATATTATATGTTATAGTATATTTTTAATATTTCAGCATATATTTCATCTTGGTTTACAAATTCAAATCAGTGGTAGCAAAAAATATTTTGCATATATGTATGTATGTATTCCAATTAATAGAAATCAATCTACTGAGATAGGAACAGGGCACATCGCAGTCGGTGTCTGCGCTTAGTGGTTCAGAAAACTTCAAACCAAATCAGCTTTGGTTGTTGTTCTACGAGCGTATGGTGCCTGCATAGCCTACCGACGATTGAATTTTAGGGGTGGGTACAGAAACAAGAACGTTTTTTAGGACACTTGTTTTGAATAATATGTTTAATGATAATTAATTTTATAATTTTTTTTTATATTAAAAATCATTAAAAGTTTACTTCTTGATTTAAAATAGTAATATAAATTTAAGAAAATCACTTCAAATTTTTTTTGTCTGTACTTTATAGTGGATAAACAATTTGTTATTTTCCAAGATTAAAACTATAAAATTATTATATGTACATATGTATATTTATCGGTAACTAATTCAAGCGGCGACTTTCAAGAATAAGCAAACATAAAAATATATATAACTAGATCATTAAATAACAACATTAAACAAAATTACACTGCCAATCAAAAAAAAATCAACCAAAACTCATTAAACATATCATTCAAAACAAGTGTCCTAAAAAACGTTCTTGTTTCTGTACCCACCCCTAAAATTCAATCGTCGGTAGGCTATGCAGGCACCATACGCTCGTAGAACAACAACCAAAGCTGATTTGGTTTGAAGTTTTCTGAACCACTAAGCGCAGACACCGACTGCGATGTGCCCTGTTCCTATCTCAGTAGATTGATTTCTATTAATTGGAATACATACATACATATATGCAAAATATTTTTTTGCTACCACTGATTTGAATTTGTAAACCAAGATGAAATATATGCTGAAATATTAAAAATATACTATAACATATAATATTCTTATTTTTATCATTAACCCAATAGTGAATACGCCCATATTGTTAGGGTACCAAGTCTGAAAAGTAGCAAAAGACAAAATATTCTTGCTGCATCGAAATGAAATGATCGCACACATGCACCCCTGTATGAGAATGCATGAACACGCATACATACAAAGCCCAATTCAAGCGCAGGCCAACCTTCTTCAAAATGCGCGTCTCTGCGACTGAACGACCGAACTCGAGCGCGAGCGTCAAAATAAGAATTAGAACGAGAGCGAAAAAACCCGAAGGCACACGAAGTGTCGGGGCCTGCCGATTCCAGCACTGGGGCTCCCCGAGTGAAAAATTTTGTGACCAAATTCGTTGTATGAAATGACCAGTCTATATGTTGTATGGTTAGTGGTTTCGGGCAGCGTAACTGATAGAATATTATGTATAACTTACATTCTCTGAATCAGCTATCCCAGCTTCATACAATGACCTTCAAACGATTAGTGTAGTATATTGGAAATAAGGGTATTGTTATAGAAAGAAGGAGAGAAAGTTATTCATACTAAGGTAGCCCGGGCTTCCAGCCACCTATTGTTCCAGTCGTTCGCTCACCCGGTCTAGTTGCCACGTCACTAAAACGGCTATAACTTTGAAAATAATTTGAGTTTTGAAAAATCCTTTTAGGGAGATTTTTGTAAATATAAAAACTATCGAATTATGAAAAAATAAAATTTTCGATTTTCTAAAATTTTTAGAATAATAGACCCCCTTAAAGGAAATACATACCCTCAATTGCAACAAACCTCCACATCTAAAAATACTAACTTCCCGGTTACCAAACGACTAAAACCATCGGACAGTGAGCAAACTAAAATGTTTATTGACGAATTAAGATTTTCGGTTAACAGCCCCGGACAACACCAATACATAGAAATAGCATACAAAGGTTGCACATACAAATGCCTTATAGACACAGGATACACAATAAATATGATTAAAAAAAATATATTTTGTCTTCCCATTCAAAATATCCAATGTGAAGTTTTGACATCAAATTTTCCTATTACATTGAACAAATTAATTATGTTACCCAACATTAGTATTTTTAAAACAACTGAACTGTTGGGACACTCACGGTCCCAGAGGGTTTCCACTTATTTCGAGCTCTGGTTCACAGCATACAGATAGCTAAAATCTTTATTTAAATTCAAATGAATTCACAATTAATCAAATTATTAACATTTTTTCTTAAACTTGTGGTTTGCCACTCTTCCAACTTCTAATACCGTCACTTTCTTCTCCTTAAATTCTTAAGTTTTCCAATACAAACGATAAAAACTAACTAACAGTTTTGAACAACTTAAGAGTATTTTTAAACTAACAGATAAATTAAAATAAATCGACTTTTGAAATGGACAGTTAGCGCGCGGCTAAACCTTTTTATTAGCCTCGCAACATGAACCATTTTATGTACACAGTTTTTCTAATAATTACGATATAATAATTGGCAGAATTGGTCTCTGAATCGCCGGTTTTTCTAGGGCTGTCCTCCTTGTCATTACGAAT